GAAGTCCGGGCAGAGGGTCTTCGGTGGGCCTAATCCCTGAACGGGGTCTCTTAGAACTCAAACATAGATGGCTGCCTATTGTCTTGTCTTGGGGGGGTGGGAGGGACAGGAGGAACGGTATGAATTAACAAGAAAAAAGAACAACAGAGACCTAAGTTAAAAAAACTTTTTTTTTTTTAAATTAAAAATAGAGAGAGCTGGAGAGAGACAGAGATAAGTAGGGTGCTCTAGCCTGGCTCCTGGCTCGATGTGGGGGGCAGAAGGGTGAAGGCTGGACAGAGGGTCTTCGGTGGGCCTAATCCCTGAATCTGTCCAGCACGTTTTGAAGTGAACAGTTGGCTCCTTTAACCAGATCTGGCTCCCTTAACCACTAGACCCATATCTCCTTCCATTTAAACTGTAAAAGGAAAAAAAAAAAAAAAACTTACCTGTAAAGAATGTTCTGCAAGGTGAACTCCACGAATGAGATTCAGAGCAGCACACATGATGTTGAGAATAAGAGAGAGGATACCCAGGGCTGACACCGGTTCCATTCGGAAATTAGGAGCTTCACAATGAAAAAAAACAAGTGTCTAGTGAAAACAATTTCCACACGAAAGAAAAATAAACAAAGACATTAACTAGACCTCCACTAATGATAAGCTCACTATGAACACAGAATTACAAACAGATTAATTTTTTTTTTTTGGAGAGGTTTTCGCTATAGGGCGCGTACGCTCGCCAGATAGACAGAGAGAGACAGAGAGACAGAAAGCGAGAAATCACCCCCCAGAGGGGATGGCCACGCCACAATCCCTTCTCCTCCATTCTCCTCTCGGGATCTTGGGCACGCACGCACATGCGCCTGGCGTGAGTTTAAGCCACTGGGTCCGGGACGCAAACCGCAGTCGAGTACGTGGGAGTCCAGCGACATGGCCATTACACTAACTGCTGGTTCCCAAAAACAGATTAATTTTAAAAACAAGTTAGAGGGGGAAAAGAAAGGCAAGAAATAAAGGACAGAATGGATTTAGGGATCTGAGGTGAGTTTCTTCCAGAAAGAGGCTTCTCTGAACAAGCACAGCTTATTCGGGTACCTGATTTCCTTTCTATGAAACCAGTGGTTCTTTCTTTTTTTTTTTTTTAAGAGGTTTTTGCTATAGGGCGTGTGCGCGCGCCAGACAGACAGAGAGAGAGACAGAGAGACAGAAAGCGAGAAATCACCCCCCAGGGAGGATAGCCACGCCACAATCCCTTCTCCTCCATTCTCCTCTCGGGATCTTGGGCATGCACGCACATGCGCCCAGCGTGAGTTTATTTGTTTGTTTGTTTGTTTTTTTGGAGAGGTTTTTGCTATAGGGCGTGTGCGCGCGCCAGACAGACAGAGAGAGAGACAGAGAGACAGAAAGCGAGAAATCACCCCCCAGGGAGGATAGCCACGCCACAATCCCTTCTCCTCCATTCTCCTCTTGGGCTCTTGGGCACGCACGCACACACGCCCAGCATGAGTTTTAAGCCACCGGGTCTGGGATGTGAACCGTGGTCGACTACATGGGAGTCCAGCGCCATAGCCATTACGCCAACTGCTGGTTCCCTAAACCAGTGGTTCTTGACCAAAGGCAAGTTGTCCCCTAGTGGATACATGGCAATGTCTGAAGATGTTTTTCGTTAGAAAGAGGGTGCTACCAGCCTCTTGTGGGTAGAGGCTAGGAATGCTTGTCAGTGTCCTACAGCGCTCAGGACATCCCCGGTGATAAAGGCTTATCTGGTGTAAGTAAAGATGTCTATGGGGCTGTTTGAGAAATCCTGACCTAAAGCAATTTCTTATGCTACTTGAGAACAATAGCTTTATTGATAAATTGGTTGTCAAATTCTGAAAGCTTCCAGTTATACACCTCAACCCTTTCACTATAAGATGCTCTATTCTTGAGACCAGCAGTTGGCGTAATGGCTATGTCGCTGGACTCCCATGCAGTCGACAGCAGTTCGAGTCTCAGACCCGATGGCTTAAACTCATGCCGGGCACGTGTGCATGTGTGTCCAAGATCCCGAGAGGGGAATGGAGGAGAAGGGATTGCAGCATGGCCATCCCCTTGGGGGGGTGATTTCTCGCTTTCTGTCTCTCTGTCTCTGTCTGGTGAGCACACGCGCCCTATAGCAAAACCTCTCCAAAAAAAAAAAAATGCTCTACTCTTTTCCTGAGGAAAAGATTCAGTATCGTGTGTGCTTCTATAGCAACTCATAGCAAGTACAATTTTCAAAACACTGAATTAATTGGAAAGAGGAGGAAAACATTGATTATTTAGGCAACAAGCTGTTTCTCGAACTATAATTAGAACAAGTGCTCGTCTTCTCTTTAGAGGTAACTGCCAAAACTGATTCTGAGTCACACAATTAAATGGTGTTCCACCCACTCTCCTGCTATGCTGAGTCATCCTTTCTTGTTTTTGCACTTCACGTACATACGTGTGCGCGGACACACACACAAACACCCAACCACATCCCAGCTTATGCCTATGGTTAGTATGTGAGCATTCCCACCACGCAATTAAAAAATTCCTGTTAGAACAACTCATGCTACCTTAAAGACTCTAACCTCAGGACAACGGGGTGAGTCAAAGCATAGTTAAAATGTCCTAGAAAGATAGGCAAGTTGATACTTTCTGAATTTGTTCCTCTTGTCTAAGTATTTAAAAAACAGAACACATATTACAGCTATCCCTGTATTTGTGAGGGGCAAGGGAGAAGTTAGGTTCAACCGCCCAGTCTTCCGTCTATAAAAGTTAAGTTTATTCCTTTCAAAAATGTCACAACACAATTTCTGCACAGAAAAATACATCATGACTTTTCCAATGACTCAATCAATTAGAACAACTTATTGGGGGCCGGCAGGTGGCGTGGTGGTTAAGGACGCTGGACTCCCACATGGCCGACCATGGTTCAAGTCCTGGACCTGGAGGCTTGCTCGCTCCTGTTCCCACTCTCTCCTTCTCTCTTGCTCTGTCCCTCTCTGGTCAAAATTTAAAAAATGAAATAAATGAAGGAATAAATTAAAAATAATAATAATAATTCTTTAAAAAAAAAAAAAACTTATTGACTGGCTTGAGAGAAACTTATTGATGAAAAAAGTGAAAAAAAATACAAAGTTAAGCCAAAAACATAAACATTTTATATACACCCCTTTGAAAATTCAGCCAGTGAGTTTAGTATAAAACAGTTTAAAATAAAATAATTAAGACTGTTACAGTGTAGGCAAAAAAGAATTCAGGCTTTTATACCACTGCAGAATTCTTGGAATGTAAATATTCACTTTCATTAAATATTAGTTTAAATGTATGCAATTATAAATAGGAATGCAAAAAGTCATGCTTCATTACGTGCTAAGCAGAGTAGCTAATAGTTAATGCCAATCCAAGTCATAGAACACCAGGGCACTGTGATCACATTCATTAATACCTCCTTCTTTTCTTTTTTTTTTTGAGAGGTTTTTGCTATAGGGCGCGTGCGCTCGCCAGACAGACAGAGAGAGACAGAGAGACAGAAAGCGAGAAATCACCCCCCAGGGGGGATACCCACGCCGCAATCCCTTCTCCTCCATTCCCCTCTCGGGATCTTGGGCACACACGCGCCCAGCATGAGTTTAAGCCACCGGGTCCAGAACATGAATCGCGGTAGACTATGTGGGAGTCCAGCGACATAGCCATTAGGCTAACTGCTGGTCCCAACACCTCCTTCTTCAGATGAGGACTCTGAAATCCACAGGTAGGGGGAGCTGCCCAGGTCTCAGGGACAGCCAGACAGGGAGAGCATGAAAGCCCTGCTTCTGGCCCCTCCCCAAACACACTCATCCCTATAGCCCTCCTCCAGGAAAAAGCATTAGGGTTTCCAAATAGAGATTTATAATGCTTCACTAAGTGACAGGATAATAATTTGTTGTGAAAAAAAAAAAAGTATAAATCTGTACAGTTAAAATATGGCTTCCAACAAAAGAGAATGAATCTCTTTTACAACATGATAGACTTTACCTGGTTAAGAAATCAATTCTTTGGGACCAGCAGTTGGCGTAATGGCTATATTGCTGGACTCCCACGTAGTTGACCGTGGTTCGCGTCCTGGACCCGGTGGCTTAAACTCATGCTGGGCGCGTGTGTGCCCAAGATCCCTAGAGGAGAATGGAGGAGAAGGGATTGCGGCGTGGGTATCCCCCCTGGGGGGTGATTTCTCGCTTTCTGTCTCTCTGTCTCTTTCTGTCTTTTGGCAAGCACACATGCCCTATAGGAAAAACCTCTCCCCTCCCCCAAAAAAGTACAGGTCGTTAGTTAAACTTGAATTTAAAAAAAGAAAGAAATCAATTCTTCAATTTCTGAATTTCACCGTAAGGACAGCCTCCCTCAGACTAACCCACCGTCACAATAATGGGTCATCACAAAAGTCAAGACATATTTTTCTATGCTTTTCTATGCAAAAATGTGTCATGACTTTTCCAATGACCCAATAGTCAAGTCTTTTATGACAGCAACCTGGAAACAGGATTGGTCCATATTTTTTGCTATATTTTATAATCTTATCCCTTCTGTTTCACTAGAAAAAAATTTTCTAGTAGAAAGGTCAGGATAATAATTTGTTGGTAAAAAAAAAAAAGTATAAATCTGTACAGTTAAAATATGGCTTCCAACAAAAGAGAATGAATCTCTTTTACAACATGATAGACTTTACCTGGTTAAGAAATCAATTCTTTGGGACCAGCAGTTGGCGTAATGGCTATATTGCTGGACTCCCACGTAGTTGACCGTGGTTCGCGTCCTGGACCCGGTGGCTTAAAACTCACGCCGGGTGCGTGTGCTTGTGCGTGTGTGCCCAAGATCCCTAGAGGAGAATGGAGGAGAAGGGATTGCGGCGTGGCCATCTCCCCTGGAGGGAGATTTCTCGCTTTCTGTTTTTCTGTCTGTCTCTGTCTTTTGGCAAGCACACATGCCCTATAGGAAAAACCTCTCCCCTCCCCCAAAAAAGTACAGGTCGTTAGTTAAACTTGAATTTAAAAAAAGAAAGAAATCAATTCTTCAATTTCTGAATTTCACCGTAAGGACAGCCTCCCTCAGACTAACCCACCGTCACAATAATGGGTCATCACAAAAGTCAAGACATATTTTTCTATGCTTTTCTATGCAAAAATGTGTCATGACTTTTCCAATGACCCAATAGTCAAGTCTTTTATGACAGCAACCTGGAAACAGGATTGGTCCATATTTTTTGCTATATTTTATAATCTTATCCCTTCTGTTTCACTAGAAAAAAATTTTCTAGTAGAAAGGTCAATGTCTACTGGGGTTTGTCCTTTTATTGATTTCTGAGAACTCTTCAGAGTATATTAACTTAACAACTTATTAATTTATTCCTATGAATATAAGATAAAAATAATATAAATTTGGAGTGAAAAATGTCAACGTCCACTTGAAATTCCTAACATCACTCGTCTTCATCAACACCAGAGAAAGCAGGCCACCTACCAGGCTCCAGGTGCATCGGCATGTGACCGTTCAGCATCCCATTGGCCACATCTGTGTCCTCCAGGGTGAGAACCAGTGGAGGCTGGAGTTTGAGCTCCTCCTGAATTTTCTCCAAGCTTCTCTGCATCTGAGAGGAACTTACACAGTTGAAATGCCACTTCATTTTCTGGATGATGCTGTCTGCCAAAGGAGAGCCACCCAGGTTGAGTATTTTCATCAGCATAGATGGTGTAAGACACATGTACAAAATGAGGCTCACATTTCTCTTGTTTGTTTGCTTCGTTTTAATAACCAGAGAGCATGTATGCTTGCCAGAGAGAGACAGAGAGACAGAGAGAAGGGGAGAAGGCACTCTCAGTGGGATGTGGTCACACAGTAAGCTCTTCTCTCTCTCTCTTTCCATCCTGCCTGGATTTTGAGCACACATGCACACACACCTGGCATGTTTCTCAAATCACCAGGGATGGGACTCAAACCTCAGTCAGCCTTAACCACTAGGCTACAAAGCTGGTCAAAGTTCACATTTCTAAGCAAGCTAGGAAGCAAGCCAGATTCTGAATGATGTCAAGTTTTACATAAAGGTCAAAAGATGACTACACATTGGCACTAATCTAATCAGGCTTCTTCAAGAAGAACAATTAAAATGTGATTGCAGAGAAGGAACAGAGCACCACAGAACCTCAGGAACAAGAGAGTCAAAGGAAAGTGTCCTGAGTCTTAGCTCAGTCACTTCTGATAGTTTAATCCCATGCAATTCACAGAATATTTCTAAGCTTAAAAAATGGGGACAGTTATTCCTGACTTGAGTATCTCAAAAAAAAATCCTAGTGCAAACTGGGATTACAAAATTGAACATGTGCATTTGCCAGAGCAAGACAGAGAGATGGAGAGCGGGAAGGAGAAAGCATACTCAAACGAGGCATGGCCATACCACAATCTTTCCTCCTCCATTTTTCCATCCTGCCTGGAACTGAGGTGCATGCATGCACACACATGGCCAAAGTGTTTTTCAAGTCACTGGGGCTGGGATTCGAACCACGTAGTCTGTGTCGCCGGATCTACAGTTGGTCACGGGGTTGCCTTTTTCTATTATTTCTGTTAGTATTAACCCCTTACCAAACCTTAAGAAGTTTTGAAATGAAGTCTCATACACACTGGCAGAGCAAAATCATGTGAAATTCTAGTACCGGTGTATTTTGACCCATTTCACTCCCCTCAGTACTGAGCGCACATGCTGCCAGGGAAAGGTCTCCTGCCAGTTCAAATATCCTTTGCCTTAGAAGACACCCTCAGGGACAAGGGAGTAGAAGAACAAGAGTCTACCCAGCTCCAACTCAACTGATGGCCAAGGGCTGCTGCAGCTATAGTCTGTTCCGGCCATTGTATCCTCCTTCTTCACAAGAAGAGGGGCTCAGAGCAGCAGACTGACCAAGGCATCCCACGGAGGCCCAGGGCAGACATCTTGGTCTATCACAAGTGTGCCAGGCTAAGGCCTGTATACCAGGGAGTACCCCAGCACCCTCAGTGACACCCACTCCTGCTCAGCTGGCCAGTAGTAGACCACATGAGGGACTGGAAGTGCCAAGGCACGGAGACCTACGTGGCAACACTCCCAGATGCTGACCTTGTGCCTAACCATTTGTTCCAATGGTTGCCAGCCCCTTATTCAAGAGCACCAGAGACAGTAGCTGTTTACACAGAAGGTCCTCCAGTTCCCACCGCTACTCCCAGTCTCCCAAGAGCTCACAATGAGCCGCATGAGGGGCTGGCAGGTGGCCTAGTGGTTACAGCACTGGATTCCCACATGGTCGACTATTATTTGAGTTCCGAACCTGGTGGCTTGCTTTCTTACTTTCCCTCTCTCTTTCTATTTCTCTGGTCAAATTAAAAAAAATAATAATGATGATGATGATGATGAAATAAAATTACATAAAATAATTTTTGTTTTTTTGGAGAGGTTTTCGCTATAGGGCGTGTGCGCTCGCCAGACAGACAGAGAGAGACATAGAGACAGAAAGCGAGAAATCACCCCCTGGGGGGATGGTCACGCCACAATCCCTTCTCCTCAATTCTCCTCTCGGGATCTTGGGCACACATGCATGTGCGCCCGGCTTGAGTTCTAAGCCACCGGGTCCGGGACGCGAACCGCGGTCGACTACATGGGAGTCCAGCGACATAGCCATTACACTAACTGCTGGTTCCCCATAAAATAATCCTTAAAAAAAATGAACCATGGGGACCAGCAGACTCCCACGTAGTCGACCACAGTTCAAGTCCCGGACCCAGTGGCTTAAACTCATGCCAGGCACGTGTGTGTGCGTGCCCAAGATCCCAAGAGGAGAATGGAGGAGAAGGGACTGCAGTGTGCCCATCCCCCCTGGGGGGTGACATCTCGCTTTCTATCTCTCTGTCTCTCTCTTTCTGGCAAGCACATGCACCCTGTAGCAAAAAACCTCTCAAAAAAAAAAAAAAAAAGAACCATGTGACAAAAACAGAACACACACTAAGACGATCATGCTGTGGGGCCAGCATGTGGGGTGGGGTGGTGGTTGAGGTGCTGGACACTCTCACAAGGTTGACCACGGTTCAAGTTCTGGACCTGGTGGCTTGTTTTCGCGCTTTCCCTTTCTCTCTGTCTCTGTCTGATCAAATTAAAAAAATAATAACAACAAATATAATTACATAAATAATTCTTTAAAAAAATTTAAAAAGAATATCATGCTGTATTCCCAACCTCTGCACCTCTGCATGGAAAAGAAGTATCCTCTTGCAAAAGTGTGTCTCATATACATCTCTCCAAAAAGAATATGTTTTGCTTTTGTTTTTGTTTTGGCTATTGGGCGTGTGTGCTCACCAGAAAAAGACAGAGAGAGAGGTGGAGGAGAAAACACCCCACATGCAGCGTGGTCACAGCACAATCTCTCTTCCTCCTCAAGCTCCTTGCAGGATTTTAGGCATGCATGCACATGTGCCTAGCATGTTCCTCAAGCTGCCAGGTCTGGGACTTGAACCACTTAGTCAAGCCATGTGGGATCCAGCCGCCTTAACCACCAGGTCACGGATCCAGTCCAGGGCCAGTTTTTGTCTTATTTCTAAACTGCTGCAAACTGATACCTTGATAAAATACAATTTAAAAAATCATAAAACTGTCAACTTACTATAAGAATTCTCAATAGTTTCTCACTTTCTGTACTGACCTCATACGGAAGACACCCTGTGAGTAGGACTGTCCTAGAGTAGGGGTCGGCAAAATTTTCTTCGAGTGCCAAGTCGTAATTACCTTAGGCTGATGAGCTACGTGCTCCCTGTCACAGCAACTCACCCCTGCCGCTGCAGGCAAAAGCAGCTACGGACAACACATGAAAAAATGAGCATGCTGAACGCGATTTACAAAACCAGGCGGCTGGCCGGGCCAGGGGACACTTTCTGAGCCCAGTCTGACAGCTGTGGTCAAGAACCCACACAGGTTTTACCCTTCCTCCCCTCTGCCTGAAGCTCTGGAGATCAAAGCCAGCATGCTGGACTTCAGCACTGTCCAGGCCACTCAGTCGCTGTGAAATACCGAGGCTGTGCATTCTTCGGTGACGCGCTGCTGTTACGCCCGGCAGTTTTCCTGGATGCTCAGAGCCGAACTAAACTGTAAGCTCCACACATACAACAGCAGGGGAGAGGACGAGCTCTCTGGAAAAGCGTTACTAACCAAACTCGAGGAAAGCGTACGGCCTGGAGGCTAAGCCGACACGCGTGGCATCGTAGGACGCTGTGAACTCCCACCACAGGGTCTCCAGGAAGCAGAAGGCCATGGCGGCCGGACACTGGCAGGAGCAGATGGCCATGCAGCCCACGTCCCCTGAAGAAGAAAAACTGAAAGAGAAGAACGCCATTTGCATTATTAGGAACCAGATCCGTGTATTCCCATCCCACATCCAGACGCAACCCTGCCTCAGCTCTGCACTTGTTCAGCCTGCAGCAGTCCCGTGGCCGCCGTCTCATAAACACTGTCCCTTCCGCTAGACCCACTGCTCAGATTTTTATACGTCCTTGAACGTGTCTAGCACAGGGCCCTCCCGATGGCCTAGTAGTTAAGGGAGACAGAACCCACACGGTTGCTCATGGTTCGAATCCCAGCCCCAGCACCTTGAAAAACACACAAAGCAGGTGATCCCGGCAGGATGGAGAGATGGAGAAGGAATTGCGGTGTGACCATACCCGACCGGAGGGGCGCTTCTGTCCCTCCCTCACCGTCTCATCTTTGGTGAGCACACATGCCCTCTGGCAGTTAAAAGACGTCTAGCAGATTAGTCACTGACAGTGTGTGACCCTCTTACTCATTCCTACATCGGGGGTACAGGCTGCCAGGTGGGATTCACCTCAGGCTTCTCTGCACCCACTGAGATGATGTTTTTCTTTACTCTACATCCACAGACTTTCTAATGCTAAATCACCCTGTCATCCTGAAATAAACCCTGGTGGGTTGTAAGCTTCTACGTATTCATAGACGTACGAGCGCTAGATTGAGTTTGCTAATGTTTTATTTAGGACTTCTGTGTCTATACAAAGTGAGTCTGGTCTATAATTTCCTTCATACTAGTTCATCTGGTTGTGGTACTAAGGGTATTCTCTCCTCACAGAATGAATCAACGGGTCAGCCCCACTGCACGGTGGTTAGGCACCAAGCAGATGAAATGGATTCCACATGGCCAGCTGCAGTTCGAAGCCCAGGTCCAGCAGCTTGAAAAACATGCTGGGTATATGTGCCTTCCCCAAATCCTGATGGGATAAAGAAACAGGAAAAAGGACTGCAGCATAACCATACCCTATTAGGGTTTTGATGGCGCCATGCAGCCAACACTAGCTGGTAAGGATGCTGCCTCCCATTCTAAGGCAGGGCCTGGACTGGGAAGAAACTGAGGCAAGGCCCAGTCTACGAGCTCTCCCTTGTGTCCCTGACCTGGCCGGTATTCAATTTCTCTGCCGTGAGTTTTACTGTTATTACGGTACCCTGCAAGGGTAAAACATCACCCCCAACTATTGCAATAAAGCCAATTAGTGATCTTGTAGGAATGTGGTTCCCTAAGACTGACAGGAGGATCAGGAAGTTTAAGACTCCCCCACCTGTCTGTTTTTAAGCCAAAATTAACATATAGATTAAGTTAGTATAAACCATATAAGATCATAGACTCACCCCTTATTGTTGTAATGTATAGATAGTCCATATATTAACTGTGTCTTTACTTAGCAAGACAAGATTTCCATCTAGGTTGTTGTAACCAGCAACGTTATCGCCCTGGCCCGGGACTGAAGTTATCAAACATCCTGCAAGCCCCCTCTTCAAAAGTTATAATTATTGCTTCCATGCTTTGTACACCCTGTTCCTTAGAGTAAATCTTTTACTGCCCCTCACCCTCCTTACTTCCTAAACCTCCCTCAATAAATACGCATGTTTCAATAGCCACGGGCAGCAGCCTGGAGCTGGCTCTGGCTGTGGCCGGCTGAGAACATGCTAAGGAGCAAAGAGGTCTCAGTCTAATTTGTTGTTTCTGATCACCCGTGTCGCCTTCCTGTGTACGAGCCACCCTCCACTGCTGAGGCTGGACCCCGGCAGGGTTTGCTCTCTTTCTCTCTCCCTCCCTCTCTCTCTCTCTCTCTCTCTCTCTCTCTCTGGTGAATTCATGTGCCCTGGCAGTTGAAGAAAAAACTATTTAAAATATTTTTATATTCAAAAAAATTATTAAAAATTGTATTTTTGTTTTGTTTTGTTTTGTTCTGTTTTGTTTAGAGATTTTTGCTATACGGCACATGTACTCACTGCAAAGACAGACAAAAAGCGAGAAATCACCCCCCAGGGGGGATGGCCACGCCACAAACCCTTCTCCTCCATCCTCCTCTCGGGATTCTGGGCACGCATGCACATACACGCCAGGCATGAGTTCTAAGCCACTGGGTCTGGGACTTGAACTGCGGTCGACCATGTGGGAGTCTAGCAATGCAACCATTACATCATCTGCTGGTTCCTTATTTTTCATTTTTTAAAGAAGATGACTATCTGGGACCAGCAGTTGGCATAGTTGGCATAACGGCTAGGTCACTGGCCTACCATGTAGTCAACCACAGTTCGAGTCCTGGACCTGGTGACTCGAACCACGGTCAGCTACATGGGAGTTCAGCGACATAGCCATTATGCTAACTACTGGTCCCTGTGCTTCTGTATTTTAATACTGTTCAATTCCTATTGCAGTACTGAATTAAATGTTCACGTTTTAAGTGAAAAAAATTAAAAAGATACAGTGGGGTAAAACTCACTTCATGTAAACCCTTATCCGACAACTGGTGTTCTTATAAGAGAAAATCACAGAGACAGGGAAGAAGAGCATGTGACCACGGAAGCAGAGATTGAGGTAACGCATTCACTAGCCAAGGCCCGCCAGGCCCCCAGCTACTGGGAAGAAGCCGCATATGGGAAGGTTCCTTCCTTACAGCCTGCAGAGGGAGCAGGGGCCCGCGACACCTGGACTGCAGACCTCTGGCCTTCAGAACCACAAGACAATACACTGCGGTCGTCTGAAACCGGCTGGGGTACTTAGTTGTAGCAATCTCAGGAAACCAGCATAGCCTTTCACTGTACAAACCGACGGGACTGCTCATCTCTCAGAGAAGGACGTCTCGATTTCTTCTGGGAGAGCAATGGTGACTGTTTCATTTACAATGCAAATGAGGAGAACACTTTCTATTTCTTTTTCAAAAATCTACTGAAGTACCCAAGATTTAATTCTGAAGTCATAGACTTCGCTTCTATAAAAAAATGACCTGTGACAGAAAAAAGGTTTCCTATTTGAGGTACACCATAAATTACTCACTGCACAGGGAGGAAGGCCATTCACATACGGAGACCACAAGGCGTTAGGGCCCAGGGCACCCTGAAAACAAGCAGTACACGCAGGTGCCCAGGGTCTGGAGGAGCTGGAGGCTGCGGAAAGGGGACTGGCGGGACGAGGCCTAACCACAGCACTCCTCCCCCCGTTTCTCTCTTCCTCGCATGTGCACACTCTCCAAAAACATAAATAAATAAAAATAGAAAAGAAAGAAGGAAGGAAGGGAAAAAGAAAGGAAGGAGGAAGGGAGGGTGGGAGGGAAGGAGGGAAGGAAAGAAGGACTAACTAACTGGTTGGTTGGTTTCAGACACTCAGAGGAGTTGCAAGTGTGGGCAGGTACCGCCCGGTGTGTGGTCATGAGCACTCAGAGCCCACACCACAGGGTGGCAGCTCTGTTGCCTCCCATCTGGCACCCCCTTCAGGACACAGCCCTCCCTCCCAACACCACCACCTACCCTGGTGTCAGGCCTGGACATTTTCTTTCTTTGGAGAGGTTTTTGGCATAGGGTGTGTGTGCTCGCCAGAAAGACAGAGACAGAGAGACAGAAAGCGAGAAATCACCCCCTGGGGGAATGGCCACGCCGCAATCCCTTCTCCTCCATTCTCCTCTCGGGATCTCGGGCACGCACGCCCACGCGCCAGCATGAGTTTAAGCCCCCGAGTCCGGGACTCAAACCGCAGCCAACTACATGGGAGTCCAGCGACATAGCCATTACGCTAACTGCTGGTCCCTGGATATTTTCTTTTGTTCAGTTATTTTTAACTTTATTTTTTTCCATAAGATAGACAGACAGACAGACAGACAAGCACCCCCCCAAAAGGTCCCCAGACCGCAATCCACTCCCAGTCTCAGCTGGCTTAGATCACAGATCCTTGTACAGTCCCTCGGCTACTCGGGGAGGTCCTGAGACGCAAACTTAGAGCCTCCCATGAGGCTCCAATCACGGCACCACTGAGCCACTGCCTTGCCCCGTCCTTTCGTTTCTCATGATTCCGAATTTCCCTGAGAGGAGTAGAACGAGCCATTCTGATACTTTATGATACCCCTGATCCTTTGAGAACGACCAGCTTCTTACTCAGAGTCCTAGAATAAGAAAGGGTATGACACAAGAGGACAGACTGTGGCACCTGGCTGCCTACGTTCCACGCTGGCTCCAAGGCTCGCTAACAGTACAGCTGAGTCTCCTCCTCATCAGACAGATGCAACACCAGCACCCACCTCGGAAGGCACTCAGGGTGCACCGCCGTACTACCGGAACTCCCACTCCCTTCGGGCACTCTCCACCCTACACTCAGTTATATATAGCTCTTGTTCCCTCCTTACTTTAAATTCCTTGCAGAAAGAGACCTACTCTAACTCATTTTCCTCTCCCCTGCTTCTAGCTCATTAAAAAATGTAAACTTGGGACCAGCAGTTAGCGTAATGGCTATGTTGCTGGACTCCCACGTAGTTGACCACGGTTCGTGACCCGGACCCGGTGGCTTAAAACTCACGCTGGGCGCGTGTGCGTGCGTGCCCAAGATCCCGAGAGGAGAATGGAGGAGAAGGGATTGCGGCGTGGCCATCCCCACTAGGGAGTGATTTCTTGTTTTCTATCTCTGTCTCTCTCTGTCTGGCGAGCGCACGTGCCCTATAGCAAAACCCTCTCCAAAAAGAAAAAATGTAACCTTGAAAACTGAATAATTGAAATTAGGGCCAGTCCTATAGTATGACGGTTAAGGGAGCCAGATCCCATGTGGTCAGCCATGGTTAGGATACTGGCCCTGTGAGCTTGACCAGCATCCGGGTACGTGTGAGTGCCCCAGATCCTGGCGGGATAGAAACTGGACGAAAAAAGAATGCAGTGTGACCACACCCCACGTGAGGTTCTCTCCCTGTGCGCTCCATAATAAAACGTTTTAAAGGAAAAATTAATCCAAAAACAGTAAAAAATAAACAAATAACTAATTAAATAAGCTAAAACTGAAAACGAGAGCTCTGAGTGGAGTCGTTTTTTATTTTCCTGGCTTTCTCCTTCTCATCCTTTCCCCTTCCAGCATTTTAATCTAGTCTCTCCTCCCTCCTCGCCTTTGTTCCTTCCACATCTAAGTGTGGGAAAACTGGTTGGCTCCAGATCTCCCGATACTCAGGAGGGCTCCACTAAGAGAGCAAAGATACTAGAGCCCCTGTGGAAACCCACTTCTTCCTAGATTCGGAAAAAAATACCCATAACCTTAGACCACGGGCTGACACCAGGCCTACTTAAGAAAGGAAAAGAAAAGAGAGAGAGAGAGAGGAAGAAAAGAAAAAGAATTATTTTATCTTTTTTATCTTTTATTTTTTAGTGATTTTTGCTATAGAGCACGTGTACGAGACAGAGAGATATAAATAAGAAATCACCCCCTGGAGGGATGACCACGCCATAATCCCTTTTCCTCCATTCTCCTCTCGGGATTTTGGGCATGCACACACATGTACCTGGTGTGAGTTTCAAGCCACTGGGTCTGGCACTTGAACCATGGTCAGCTACATGAGAGTCCAGTCCCTTAATCACTACTCCATCTGCTGGTCCCTTATTATTATTAGTTTTTCTACCAACTCTTTTTTTAAGAGCTTTTTGCCTTAGGGTGCGTGTGCTTGCTGGAGAGACAGAGACAGTGAGGGGAGAGTGAGAAATCACTTCCCAGTGAGGATGGCCATGCTACAACTCCTCCATTCTCCTCCCTAGTCTTAGGCATGCACGAACACACACCTGGTGTGAGTTTCAAGCCACTGGGTCGAGGACTCAAACTGTGATGAGCCATGTGGGGGTCCAGTGATGTAACCACTGCGGCATCTGCTGGCCCCATTATTATTTTATAATTTGCTACTGGCATGTATGCTCTCCAGAGAAGAGCGGGAGTAAATGAGAAAGCAAGTTGCCAGGTCCAGGACTCGAACCATGGTCAGCCACGTGGGAGTCCAGCACCTTCACCACCACAGCACCGTCTGGCCCCCTGGTCTACACAGTGTGATCAGCGCGATGTGACCTCCCAGGTTTTGCCGACGAGCTGAAAACGGGAAGAGGCTCGCTTACTGTATACTGAAGTCACGGCCTCCCGCGGAACCTCGGCCCGGATACTGGGCCAGTCTCGAGGCTAGCTTCTTGAGCCGGGGCCGGCATTCCAGGAAATCTTGGCTGTGGTAAAAGTCAGTAGAGGCCGAGAGGGGCAGTCCATCCCGCAGCCGTACCACACAGGCAAAGAGGATCATGGACATGGTCCGCAGGAGAAGGCATGAGGACCCCTGAGAAAGCAAGGTCGCCTCATTAGTGAGGGCCGGATGACAAGTACCAGAGACGCCCCTCGACCCTGAAATGCCCAGTGCAGACTGCTTCACCCTCACCCCCACTGTAACTGCAAATGTTGCCATCCTCTTATTTATTTATTTATCTATTTATTTATTTATAATGGAGATGTTTCTGCTATAGGGCGCATGCGCTCGCCAGAAAGTCAGAGAGAGGCAGAGAGACAGAAAGCGAGAAATCACCCCCCAGGGGGGATGGCCACGCCGCAATCCCTTCTCCTCCATTCTCCTCTCGGGATCTTGGGCACGCATGCACACGCACCTGGCATGAGTTTTAAGCCACCGGGTCAGGGACGCGAACTGCAGTCGACTGTATGGGAGTCCAGCGACATAGCCATTACGCTAACTGCTGGTCCCATATTTGTTTATTTTTATTTGCCAGAGGTTGTGTGCGCTTGCCAGAGAGAAAGACAGAAAGGGAGGAAGAGGGAGAGGGGGAAGTACTCCCTCGATGGGGCATGGTCACATCGCAGTCCCTTTTCCATGATTTCTCTACCTCGTTGGGATTTGGGGCATGTGTACACACGCAGCTGGCTTCATTTTCAAGCCCCTGGGGCTGGACTTCAAACCACTGGGCCATCCATGTGTGACCTGGCTCCCTTAATCCCTGGTTTCATTATTTCCCTTTCCTCTACTGCTATGTCACTTCCAATTCCCTTCATTGTACTCCCTGCCTCTGCTTCATTCGCAGCCCTCCTCTCCCTTCTCTGTAATCAATCCCCCTCTCCCCAGAATTGAGCCAATTAGGGTGAGGGAGAAGGAAGCAGGGCCCGAAGGCTCAGGAGCAAGAGCAGGAGCAGAGGGCAGCAGGCCACGGCGCAGCCCTCCAGGGACAGGACACTGAGGCGGCAAGCCCTGGGGTTCAGTAACTGCACGTCGGGTCTCCCGAGATGAGCGCTGAGCAGTTGGCTTAGCTGCCATTTCTCATCTGCAGGGAGACGGAGGAAGGTGGAGGGACCCTGAGCACCTGGCCTGAGGCCGGGGAACGGAGGAAGGTGGAGGGACCCTGAGCACCTGAGGCCGGCGGCAGGAGAGCAGACGTGAGGGAGCTGAGAGCACGTCCCCCGGAGTTTCTGCAAGGATGCGAGGCAGAGCCATCTTCAAAATGATGACTGAGTTCCCACAGATGGCTAAAAAGTCATTTGGCAAATGATATTACAGTAAGATCCTAAATATTTGGCCATATTTGAGCACCATGAAGAAACAAAAGGAAACAGATCTCAGCCCTCACGGTGCCTCTGAGGAATGGGAGACGGGAAAACCGGGCCCACAGCAGCCCTTCGGGATGTCAGCGCCATCTGTCTGCTCCACGGGGCACTGACGCAAGGGCACAACCTGCACATCTGTGTGGCCGCCCCGAGACTGGGGTTACAGAGGGGGCCACAACAGCTTTAAGGGGCCCTCCCATGCCATGCACATTCTAGCTATCAGGTCCTCCCGGGACCCCCTTCCCAACACCTCTAGGGACGAAACTTGATGTAGCATCTCAAAAACAGGAGCCCCCAGGACCCACGCTTCTCTTCACCTCTGTACCTCGTCATTCTTTTTTTTCTTTTTCTTTTTTTTTTTTTTAGAGGTTTTTGCTATAGGGCACGTGCGCTCACCAGAAAGACAGAGAGAGACAAAGAGACAGAAAGCGAGAAGTCACCCCCCAGGGGGGATGGCCACACCACAATCCCTTCTCCTCCATTCTCCTCTCGGGATCTTGGGCACGCATTTATTTATTTATTTATTTTCGCTATAGGGCGCGTGCACTCGCCAGACAGAGAGAGACAGAGAGACAGAAAGCAAGAAATCACCCCCCAGAGGGGATGGTCACGCCGCAATCCCTTCTCCTCCATTCTCCTCTTGGAATCTTCGGCACGCACGCACACGCGCCCGGCGTGAGTTTTAAGCCATCGGGTCCGGGACACAAACCGCAGTCGACTATGTGAGAGTCCAGCGACATAGCCATTACGCTAACTGCTGGTTCCCATTGGGCACGCATTTAAACACACGCACTGGCCTGAGCTTAAGCCACCAGGTCCAGGACTCAAACCGCGGTCGACCACATGGGAGTCCAGAGACGTAGCCGTTACGCTCACTGCTGGTCCCTGTACCTCGTCATTCTTACCCTGCATCTGCAGTGACACCCCTCTCATTTCCCCATATCCAAACACAAATAAGGCCTGTCTCCAATCCACCCATTACACGACCTTGCTCACACCTGCCCAGCAGTTGGTGTGGCGACTATGGTGCTGGACTCCCACATGGCCAACAGCGGTTCCAGCTTAAAAATCAAACCAGTGTATCCAAACTCCCAAGAGAATGGAAGAGAAGGGATTGTGGTATGGCCATATCTCCCCGAAGAGTGATTTCTCATTTTCCCTTTCTCTGTCTCTCTCCAGCAAACACGTGTCCTATGGCAAAAATCTAAAACAAACAAAACAGAGTTACAAGGTACAAAGCCCTGACAGAAATGGATAGAGATGGGACCAGCAGTTGGCGCAATGGCTATGTCGCTGGACTCCCATGTAGCTGACCACAGTTCAAGTCCCGGACCCGGTGGCTTAAACTCACGTCGGGCACATGTGCGTGCGTGCCCAAGATCCCAAGAGGAGAATGGAGGAGAAGGGATTGCAGCGTGGTCATCCCCCCAGGGGGTGATTTCTCACTTTCTGTCTGTCTTTCTGGCGAGTACACATGCCCTGTAGCAAAAACTTCTCCAAAAAAAAAAAAAAGAAATGGATAAGAGACTATGAGATTGATTTTTTATGAGATCAATTTAAGATCAGGCCTTAGAGCCTGAACAACTCCAGGGGACTAATGTGATGCTGCAGTGAAACACCACGCTCCTGAGGCTGACCCACATGGGCAGGCTCCGAGATCACACCGAGACATCCCTGAGCACACCGGGCCCATGCGTGCCATTCTGGTGCAACTCCGGCTGGAGGTGGACTGCACTGTGAAAACCCTGTTGGATGTGTTCCCTCTCTCTCCTTCTCAGAAATACACATAAAAAAATCACCACGCTCCTGAGGCTGACCCACATGGGCAGGCTCCGAGATCACACCGAGACATCCCTGAGCACACCGGGCCCATGTGTGCCATTCTGGTGCAACTGCGGCTGCACTGTGAAAACCCTGTTGGATGTGTTCTCTCTCTCTCCTTCTCAGAACAAACACCAAAAAAATAAAAAATAAAAAAAGGGATCAGCAGTTAGTCCAATGGCTATGTCGCTGGACTCCCACGTAGTTGACCGCGGTTCGCGTCTCGGACCCGGTGGCTTAAACTCATGCTGGGTGCGTGTGCGTGCGTGCCCAAGATCCCGAGAGGAGAAGGGAGGAGAAGGGATTGCGGCGTGGTCATCCCCCCGGGGGGTGATTTCTCGCTTTCTGTCTCTATGTGTCTCTCTCTCTGTCTGTCTGGCAAGCGCATGTGCCCTATAGCAAAAACCTCTCCAAAAAAAAAGAAGGAAGAAAAAAAGGAAGTAACTCTGTCAAGAGCCTTCAGCCAGGATACATACACTAAACAGGAGGGAAAAAGGCAATGACTCAATGAGATACCCAGAGACGGAACAGAAAACCTGAAAGCAAAGTAAAAAAGGGCCCTTCTGAGGGGCCGAGAAGACACACTACGTAGGCAAGGTGCACGTATCCCAATTCCCAGCTCAAACTCTCTCTCCAGTGCTGCCTTATGAGACATCTGCTATCTGCCAGGTATTGTGCTAAACCTAGGAAACGGAAATGGCGCTACTTCTACACGATAGTAATCTTTCTTTTTTTTTCTTTTTTTTTTGGAGAGATTTTCACTGTAGGGCGCGAAAAAAAACGTGGGAGTCCAGCGACATAGCCATTACGCTAACTGCTGGTTCCCAGTAATCTTTCTTTTTTAAGAATTATTTTATTTAACCTTATTTATTGATTCGTTTGTTTATTTCTTTTTTACCACAGAGAGACAGAGAGAGAAAGCAAGCCTCCAGGTCCAGGACTTGAACCATGGTCGGCCATGTGGGAATCCAGCACCTTTAACCACCACGCCACCTGCCAACTCCGCCCCCCCTCCCTTTATTTTTCTTTTTTTAGAGAGGTTTTTGCTATAGGGTACGTGCACTCCCAAGAAAGATTGAGACAGAGAGACAGAAAGTGAGAAATCACCCCCCAGGGGGGATTGCCACACCACAATCCCGTCTCCTCCATTCTCCTCTCGGGATCTTGGGCACGCACACACTCGCGCCCGGCGTGAGTTTAAGCCACCGGGTCCAGGACTCTAACTGCGGTTGGCCACATGGGAGTCCAGCAACACAGCCATTACGCTAACTGCTGGTTCCATGTGACTGTAATTATTCTAAAATAAAGTTGGGGGAAAAAGATTAACTTAAGGTCCTCATGTACCACTTACTTAAAATATGCTCATACTTTATGTTTAAATGTCATTTTAAAATATCTCCACCGGCAGAACAATAATCGTAGCTGCTAATTAGCTACAGTTCTGATGGTTTATGCATGAATTGTTGAAGGGCATGCTTTACCGTGAACAACTCCATAACTACATGGTATTTCCAAAGTGGAAAGTACTACAATCGCAGGGCTCATTAAACAAAGCTGTTTAAATAACCAGTATTCTATTTAAAACAGGAATGCGGTGATATGAAGCTGGAAAATTATGCCGCCATTATACAAGAAAATATTATCAACCCCACCAGGGCAGAGGCAGCCCCAGGCCGCTAACAGAGGCACTGCCGTCTGGCCGATCTCACCAGCTCCCTCTAGGGGCCGGTGCACCTCATAACCTCGCATATGCTGAGCACTCAAGGGCTGGCCCTGTGGCTCGAGTGGCTAAGGGAGTTGGATCACACATGGCTGACCAAGTAACTCAAATTCTGGCTCCCGTAGCTCAAAAAGCAGTCCAGGCAAGGGCCAGCATGTGGCATGGGGGGTTAAGATCACTGGGCTCCTGGGACCAGCAATTGGCGTAATGGCTATGTCACTGGATTCCCAGAGCCACATGTCCAGTGCCTTAACCACCATGCCACCTGCTGGTCCCCAGATAGAACTTTTGTTTGTTTGTTTGTTTGTTTGTTTTTTGCTATAGGGCGCTTGTGCTTGCCAGAAAGACAGAGAGACAGAAAGCGAGAAATCACCCCCCCCCAGGGGGATGGCCACGCCGCAATCTCTTCTCCTCCATTCTCCTCTCAGGATCCTGGGCAAGTATGCACACGCACCTGGTGTGAGTTAAAGTCACCACGTCCGGGACTAGAACCGCAGTTGACTACGTGGGTGTTCAACGACATAGCCACTACGCTAACTGCTGGTCTCTAGATAGAACTTTTTAAAAGTAGAAAGTACAGGTACCAGGTTACGTCACTGAACTCCCACATGGCTGACCACAGTTCAAATCTCAAACCTGGAGGCTTGAAATTCACACCAGGTACATGTGCGTGTGTGCTCAAAATCCCAAGAGGAGAATGGAGGAGAAGGGACTGGGGCATGGCCATCCCCCATGCAGGGTGATTTTTCACTCTGTGTCCTCTCTGTCTCTCTTTGTCTCTCTGAAAAGCTCACACACTTTACAGCAAAAATCTCTACCAAAATGAAAAAAAAAAAAAAAAAGTAGAAAATGGAGCCAGCTGGTAGCATGGTAGTTAAGGCAGCTGGATCCCACGACTTGACTACACAGTTCAAATCCTGGACCAGGTGGTTTGAAAACTATGAAGGGCGAATGGAGGAGGAGGGACTGCAGTGTGGCCATCTCCACTAGGGAGGATGTTTAAAGAAAAAAAAAAAAAAGTACAAAGTGAAATAATAATCAAATAGGCAGCATCTGTGTTACTGCATTTTATAAAAATACAGTTCAGGGACCAGCAGGTGGCACGGTGATGAAAGTGTTGGACACTCCCACATGGCCAACCACAGTTCAAGTCCCGGAGCTGGAGGCTTGCTTTCTCACTTCCTCTCTCTCTCTGTGTCGCTCTGGTCAAATTTTAAAAATAAATGAACGGGGGACCAGCAGGTGGTGTGGTGGTTAAGGCACTGGACAATCCCACATGGCCAACCACAGTTCCAGTCCTGCATGCTTTCTCATTTTCCCTCTCTTTCTCTCTCTTTTTCTCTCTGGTCAAGTTAAAATAAATGAGTGAATGAATGAATGAATAAAAATTAAATAATTCTTTAAAAAATAAAAATAAGCAAATGAATAAATAAAATGAAACAAATAATTCTTTTAAAAATATAGTTTAATCTGCTTCCTCACTTCCTAAATCCTCTTCCTAGCATCAGTTTATGAATTGCTCATATCATAGATTAGCCTTATGCTAAAAGCAAAGACATTGTACCTATGCTGGGAGCTACCCTTGTTCCCACTTTTTTTTAAAGAATTATTTAATTAATTGCATGTGTTGTTATTATTATTATTTAATTTGACCAGAGAGAGAAAGGGAAAATGAGAAAGCAAGTCACCACATCCAGGACTCAAACTGCAGTTGGCCATGTGGGAGTCCAACACCTTCACCACCATACCACCTACTGGGCCCCCCATTTTTTCCTCCCCCTTATACCCTTAACACTCCCCCAAATCCCTACCGTCTGCACTCTGAGAGAGAGACATGAAGACAGAGAGACAGAGACAGAGGTGGCCAAGACCTGCAAAATAGGAATTTAAACAGTCATTTGGTGCACAAATACCCAAAGCTAAGTGCTCACCATGAAGCAGTCTGTCCACTGCTCAGATCTACTACAAAGGAGATGAAGCTGCCTGCATAATCCTTAACTGAACTCACCTTCAACCACAGGACTTAAGAACTGGTTACCTAATTGGTAGATTCTGCTGGCTCTGAGCTGCTGGAGGGTGGGGTGGGGAGAAGGGTAAGGGTCAACTCTCAGGTGTTAGGAGCTGAGATGAATAGGGACCCGAACTTGACAGGAACTAACATTAAATGCCAAGTGCTGGGCTGGGAACTTTCAAGGGAATGTTATCAAGTGCTCACGGTTGTCTAGAACACAGGAATAACTTACTGTGGGCCGGAGGGAAAGCTGCATCTCCAAGGCTCAAGAGGCAGACAGGTTTGGGGGACCAGCAGTTGTCGTAATGGCTATGTCACTGGACTCCCATGTAGTCGAGCACGGTTCGCGTCCCGGACCCGGTAACTTAAAACTCACGCCGGGCGCGTGTGCGTGCGTGCCCAAGATCCTGAGAGGAGAATGGAGGAGAAGGGACTGCGGCGTGACCATCCCCCCTGGGGGGTGATTTCTTGCTTTCTGTCTCTCTGTCTCTCTCTGTCTGGCAAGCACACACGCCCTATAGCAATAAAACCTCTAAAAAAAAAAAAAAAAAGAGGCAGACAGGTTTCAAACTCAAACTTCCCTGGGGGGCCAGACAGTGGCAGTAAGGCAGAGCTCCGCTGACCCACGTGGGAAGGACTCAGGTTCTAGGCTTCCCTGGACACATCTGGCATGTGCCCATGGTCCAGGGCTGCCTGAGCTGAGGGTGGATCACAGCATGAACACCCAGCTGGTGGGAAGGGCGTGGGTACCAATCTCTCTGTCTCTGTTTCTGTCTCTCATTCATATCAGAAACAAACTTAAAAAATGAAAACTGGGCCAGCCCTATGGCCTCGTGGTTAGGGAGCCAGATCCCACATGGCTAGCCCATGGCACAGCAGTTAAGACAACTGGGTCCCACGTAGCTGATCAGGTGGTTCGAGTCCCAGACCCAGCGACCTGAGAAACACATCAGGTGCATATGCATGAGTGCTCAAAATCCTGATAGGAAGGAGCGAGAAAAGAAGGGACTGCGGTGTGACCAATTCCCCACGGAGGGTGCTTTCTCACTTCCTTCTCTCTCTCTCTCTCAGGCAAGCACACACACCCTCTGGCAAACTGTGAGAAAGAAAAGGAAAGCAAAACATGCTGGGCCCATGTGTGTACGCACAAGTCCAAAATCTTGACAGGATGGAAAAATGAAGTAAAAGCGATTGTGGTAGGACCACATTCCAGTGGGGGTGTTTTCTTCCTCTTCCTCTTCCTCTCTGTCTCTCTCGGACAAGGGCATATGCCCTCTGGCAAATAAAAAAAACTAAAGACAAACAAACTTTCTTACTTGAAATAAACAATAGCCGAGGGCCTTGCCACCACATCCTGTCTCTTTAAATCCAAACTTCGGCATTACGGTTACTCTCTTTCTCTAAAATAAGGCCTTCCCCTAGAGGACTAATACTAGAACTGAGACCTGTTAGATGAAAGAAACTAACTATGCCAGCAACTGCTCCTTACCCACGGCTTACTTTGAGGTCAGTTTTCCGCTCCGGTCTTCAATCATTTTTGGATACTACGTTGATCCCTAAATTCCTTCTAAGAGGAAAAAACACTGGGGGGGGCCTCAAAATGTTCTCTGCGTTAACACAGATAATGAACTCAGAGCTATCACACTGTCGAAAATGTATTTTCTAGAGGAATTTCTACTAAACTACTTTCAGTTGTTTTCCTTTATTTATTTATTTATTATTATTTTTTTTTTTGGAGAGGTTTTTCGCTATAGGGTGCCTGCGCTCGCCAGACAGACAGAGACATAGAGACAGAAAGCGAGAAATCACCCCCCAGGGGGGATGGCCACACAATCCCTTCTCCTCCATTCTCCTCTCGGGATCTTGGGCACGCACGCACACGTGCCTGGTGTGAGTTTTAAGCCACCAGGTCCGGGACTCGAACCACGGTTGACCACGTGGGAGTCCAGCGACATAGCCATTACACTAACTGCTGGTTCCCATCCATTTTATTTTTCTATAATGATCTTTTTCAGGAGCAGCTCTTTTCTTTCCCAAATGTAATGAAGATGTCTCCTAGCCATCGGTCTGGGTTGTATTTTATACATCTGACCATTCACACACACACACACACACACACAAATAAAAGGAAAAAAATATATCTATCACCCATTGCTTTCCATCCCTGGGAATATTCTTTCACAGCTGTGACTGCTACAAACCTAATCCCTTTATACATAACCTTGTGGCTCTGGAGGTCTATGCGCAGAGCTGTCGTGGGAGAGCCCACACCTGACGTTCGGAAAAGTTAGTCCAGTCCATCGGGTACTCCATACGCCCCGAATGACCCGTGGGCGCGCAAAGGGCGTTCGCTGTTCGAATTACACCCTCGGACCCGGCTCGGCGGATCCCGGGCACCTGCCCCCGCCCAGCTCGGACACTCCCCGTCCCCGCCCACCCGGGCCGTCCCGGCCACCTGCCCCCGCCCAGCTCGGACACTCCCCGGCCCCGCCCACCCGGGCCGCTCCGCGCACCCGCTC